GTTCGTTGACGTTGGAACTTGTCAGTTCCCCGCAGTGATGAGTTCGTTTCGGAAAATTGTAACCTCTACTTAAGCTCACCAACTCTTCTTTGTGCAAATCATCCAATTTTGGGATCAACTCTTTGAATTTTGTCGAACTGGGTGTATTACTATCGTACGACGTTATCGAAGACGAGAATAATCTCTTTAACGAGTTTGATGTTACTGGTCGGTTGACCTGGTAATAATATATGATCCAATTAGACTTAAAAACAAAAGTTCGTAAGCATATCGTGGAATGATTTGCGTTTGAATTCCGAAATTTAAAATTTTTATGTCTTGCGAATGATTTTGCATTTTGAATTTTATTCATCGCCGAGAAAGAAAAATTTTTTTGATAACGATTGTGATACCTCAATTATCAGTTACATATGGTCACGTGAATATAAAATTACGTTTCCGTAAATTGAATATTTGCTTGATATCAAAGAATTATCAAAAAACCAAGATTGTTTTATCGGATTAATGTTTACTTTTAAGAAAAAAAGCATTGTCTCGCGTACTGTATGACCTTGCACAAAATACTTTTTTCTCGGGTAAATGCGAACACTTGTTTACGGTCTACGGCTAGCGACTTTCAAGTGTGAGTTGCTAAATACGTAGTATGTTAGATTCTCGTTCCTGGTCAAAGCATGATCTGACATGTACAGTAATAGAGTTTTCATAAAGTTAGCATATACTGTATTATAAAAGAAAGTCGAATATCTGAATTGCGGGTTTTTTACATAAAAGTAAATTTCGAACATTGTGCAGATGACTCATTTGTTTACTAATCGCGTTTTACAGAACTACGCCATACAAATTGTTTGTCTTTACGTAATTCGAACTTTTAATTACAATTAATTACAATAGAATACCCGATCCATTTGTATGACGGAAAGAAATCCTTAGAAACATAAGGCTAATAATTAACACATACAGTATATATAAAGCCATTGAAAGAGTCGCGATGGTCCAAATTGACAAAAATTATCCTTTTTGCACGCTTACAACTATCAGGTAATTGATCGGTCTGCTCGATAGTGAAACACCTTCCTAGAGAAGCATTCTGCAAGTTTTCACGTGTGATCATTATTTGAAAAATTTTACAAAGCTGCGGTTTCTCATAGTGAGTGAAGTGGAGGATTGAACTCGCACAAATATCTTTGATCTCCTCACTTTTTACATTCATTTTTTTATTGGTAGAATAAAAATGAAATTTTCCAAAGTACTTAAAGCCGAATGTGTGCCAGAATGGAAGAGAAAGTAAATATCGATTTTTATGCTCTCTAAACGTGTGCATACAATTGATTATTATTCATAACATGCATTCTTAAAGGTATATTGACTACAAAGGCCTAAAAAAGCTCTTGAGCTCCGTAGAGAAGGAACGAATAACCAGAATAATACAAGAATATAAGAGTAGCGATAGTCCCAGGTCCAAATCACAAAAGGATGATATACACACTCGACCTATTAGTGAAATCCCTATCGCAGGAGGTTGTTGCGGTGAAACTGGTGACATTTCGGCTAATATAAACTTGCGAAGACCTCCGCAGTCACATGAAATATCTCGTCGAAATAACATTACTTATTCCCTACCACTGCTCACTACAAAGCTCGAAAATTCTTCGGTCGAAGGGAATTGGTTGCCATCCAATAAATCACCTGGCATGCGAAATGTACCCGAAAGAAACAATTCCTTATTGAACAAACTTTCTTTGAGGATATCCTTAGCTACCAATGAAAGTAGGTTTGGTTTTCCTTGATCAATATATTGTTCACCATACATTACTTTACTCAGAATCTTTTGCGCATACACTGTACGCATCGAACATGACTAGATGCACGAAGCAGGATAGTCTCGATCGACACCTTAATGGACCAAATGGATGAAGAAGAGAAGAAATTTTTCATTGCTCTACAAAACGAAATAAAGAAGATCTCGGAATTTTGCGACGGTCGGTCATTTGGTTTTCTTATGTTGACATATACTATCAATTTGCGAGTATAATCCATAATATTAACCCGGCTTCCAAAATCAATATATTTAACAAAATAGAGAAACAGGAAGAAGCTTACCAAAAATTTCAGAAATTGAAACAAGTATTTG